TTGTGTGGGTGCTGACATGCAAGGATGTTTGTGTGCTGGGGTCTATGTGTGCATCATTAATACTGAGGGCTGTATCACTCCAGCTGAATTTCCTACAGTCTGAAATGGAACCTATAGCTCCATATGTTAATCTTATGAGAAAAGCCCTATGTAGGTTTAAAACATTTTTACCCCACCTTTCTCCTTAAAAGGGCCCAAGGTGACTTATATTATTAAAGATAATATTAAAGCTAACAACAGTTAGTATACACATACTAAAAAGTATCAAACAATTAGTGTACAAATAAACATAAGTAATACCAAAACACATTCAATGCAATAAGGAAAGCCTGTCCTAAGAGAAAGAAATGTATGCATGCATGCATGCATTCACAGCACTATTCTGGACAGTTAACAATATTATAATAAAACATCTTGAATAGAATTAACATTAAAATCAAGTCCTGAATCAAATAACAAATACCACTGAAAGTAGAAGAGGCATATTACTTAAATGTGCGAACAGAACAGAAGGTGGATTGCACAGAAGCACTTTATTTATAAAGAAAAGTCTTCAGAAGCCTTTGAATGTTAGGAGAGTGGGGGGGCAGGCACTTTCACTCGCAGCTGGCACCAACTTGTGGGTGCCAGCACAAAGAGGGCCTGGCTCCTTGTGGCTAACTTCCTGGCCTCCCTTGGAGTGGCCACCCAGAGGAGCAAGGCCTGGGAGGATCTGGTGAGGCAGGCAGTTAACCTTGGGGAAAGACACACTGGCAAGTTTCTTTTAGTTAGCTTGGACCAAAGGCATTTAGGGCTTTTATAAGTAAAAAAACCAACACTTTGAATCGTGCCCAGAAATGGATCGGCAACCATTCTTGGAGAGAGGTCTGATCCGGCCATAGTGACACATGCGTCAGTTACATCCTGGGTAGATTACAATCTGGGGTGTAATGGAGGGTTATGAGATCTGTGTAACCAGCCCCAGTCAGTAATCTGGCTCCGGTGTTTTGGGCCCACTGAAGTTTCCAGACATTTTCCAGAGGGAGCCCCACATAGAGTGCATTGCAATAACCTAGCCGGGATGCAACTAAGGCATGTGTCCCTGTGGCCAGACCAAACCTCTCCAGGAATGGGTGCAGCTGGCACACTGGTTTTAATTGTGCAAAGGCACTCTTGGCTACTGCTAAAACCTGGGCATCCAGGCTCAGAGATGAATCCGAGCACCTTCTTTTCTCTTCATTTAATGTCCAGTCTGGAGAACTCAAAATCTTGCCCACTCATTTCCCTGACTGCATCTGTAGTCAATGTTAGTGGTGTTTTGGCAAAGTTTGGTGTGAGGAAATTGTTGAGTGTGGCCTTAATTTAAAACAGTAATTAAATTTCTTCTTATGCAGCAGACGAAATGGTTCAGCCAGGAATCTACCGAATAGACTGAACCTAGTCTCCCTTAGTAGACCATCCCTCATTTGCTAGTTCACCTCAAGTTATTTGTTTCAATACATTCACCCAGAAATTCTGGTAAATTAGAAGAACAAACATTTCCATTTACTTAGAGTTCTTATATAAAACCAAACATCACATTTTATGGAAATGTTAACTTGTTACATTACTGAACTTACCTGGTTAATTTACTTCATTATTAACTAACTGGTTACATTGCTGACAGAATACTTCACTCATCACTTCTAACTCTGTAATTAACACTTACAATACACTAACTAAACCCTGAAAAAAGGTGGGAAAAGAACTCTGAGGCAAAGACGGACGTTTACTGACAGCAACCACAGTCCAGGAAAGTGCCTCCCAGCTAAAAACCACCTCAAAGGCATTAATAATGGGGGTGCAATACGTATATCCAACAGACGCAAGGGTTCAAATACTCTCCACATCAGGAACGGTAGGTGATAACTGAATGATGATCAAGGCCTGGACTGATATATTAGGGTCTGAAAGGTCTGGCTTCCCAATTGCAACAGATTTTTTTTAATGTGATTAGGGAAAATCACTTGCTTGTCTAAGACATGTCTAAGTTCCCAATCTGTCCATGCAAACGTCTCCTGAGGAGACACTGTGAAAGCCAGCATGGTACACAGTAGCATGATGGTAAATTTGAGAGTGCAGATACTCATCATGACAGTTCCCAAAGCTACTTTGCCTCATAAAAATTGAGTCCAAAAATGCAAGCAGCTGCATTGGTCCTTCTCAATAATTGATATGTTGAGATGATTAAGTCTTTTGTAAAGTGAATGGCTCTTAATTATTCATTCAAGTCCCAAAATACATCCCAATGCTTCGTGTTACTGCAGTTAGAGTGAGGATTACAGCGACATTCAGAGGGAACAGGGAAGCTTGAGGGGTATGGTGGGTGAATTCATAGTCCCCACTACTCAGAATGTCCTGGAGCCTGGATACTGCACGCTCTGGGTCTGCCATATTACTAGTGGTGGAGTGATTGGAATGTTGGATTAGGTCCAACTCTCTGAAGTTAGGAAACTTGCTGGGTGATTTTGAATTGGTGATTCTATCTCCTTATTTGGCACCTCAGCATTTTTGTAAGGAAATCATTACGCACTGTAGAGGTGCTTGGGGAAAGGCAAATCATATTCAAGATAGTGTGGAAATTCTGGGGATGTCTTAACTAGTGGAGAAGTGAAACGGTTGAGAGCATAGAGCTCCAGACCTGAATGGCCTTGTAGCTTATGCTGGTGGCATCACAGCACATACACCCTAGTTGTTATAAACACAGGAAAATGGACGAGGACCAGAACAGCCATCAGTATTTATCAGGCAGAGCAGCAAAGCACAAAGAAGTGATAATGAAATCAGCACATCAAAGGCCAAAGGCGTCTCTGGTCAGCAGGGCTGCCATTATGGTCGGCACAGAAGCCAAATTCTAATCCAATAAGCCATATATTTTTCAAAAGCAGATAAAACTCCCACCAGCCATCTAGATCTAGCTGATTGTATCTGCTGCTTTCATAGCGAGGGGGAGAGTCTGAATTTAACCAATAGATTTAGGGAGATCTGCTATGTCAGGATGCATATACCATGAGTTCGTTAACATAGACCTCCTATATGATCATCTGGCAAATGAGACAGTAAGAGCTGGTATTTTGCCCTATAAATTTTTCAGAGTTTCGTGCAACTGAACCTGTCTTGAAACTCCTATATGTATCTGTATTCATCTCACTTTAAGACTGCCATTTAAAAAAAACACAGAGCATCCTGTCTGGATTGCTGATTCATAGATGCTATAATTTTAAGAGGGTTGTCATTTTACCTTCTCTCTTGAAGCTGTGATCCCACACGAGAGAGGGAGTCCATCTGTGCTCCTGCCCCACTTCAGCATGCATATATCTCATATTGATACGAGGATGAAAGTTTCAACATGACATTTTGGATTCCATAGGAAGATGATGTGCATTTTGTCATACATGGTTAGTGCCTGTTGTTTGTAATGGAAGTGTGTACATGCAAAAACACATTGACAAGATAGAATGGCGAGAGTTCAACTGGCATTGGAGAACCTTAAACCAGCAAAATTAATGCCCAGATGAGCCCAAAAGAATCTGATGATAATTGCTGGATAGTGGTTTAGGTATGGTTGGGGGCTCAATTCCCCCCCTGTGCCTCCTTGACAGGGATGGCCTCGATGATCCACAGGGTCCCTTCCAGCTCTGTGGTTCTAAGATGATGGTGGTAGTGGTGGTGGTGGTGGTTAGATTTCGTGGTTGCTGTTTTAAGGAACAGACTAAAGTATTCCAGTTCAAATAAAGACTTGTTTCAGTGTTTGCTTGCTTGGTTTAAAATATGTTTGAGCATAAAGATACAACACCGGTAGTGATCTTGGAGGCTCAGAACAAGGAAGTCAGTTTAAAGTCTATAGAATTTTCAGGTTGGTGATGCCCATTATCGCCTTCAAATGTTGTGTCTATGTAGCTCTTTGTACATTACCTTTGAAACTTCTGTCCACTGTATTCTACTCACCAATCCAGGAATATTCCAGAACCCTCTCCCTGTGTCCAACATGTCATCTTTCTCCATTAGGTGTTTGCTGGGAATCCAAGTAGCGCCTGTCATCTTCATTAACCTGTCCTTATTCTTCCCAAGGCATGGCAAAATGTATTTAAGCATTCCACTTGATCTTCTATGGGCACAGATTGACTTGCTCCGGTTATGCAGACAAGACTTTTATTGGCCACCTTCTGCCTGGCTCTGCTCTGTTTGCATGCACAAACAGCACAGCTTTTTGATATGGAAGTCTTAGAGTGAGGTGAATATGAGTAAGGTAAAAAGGTTCCCCTTGACAATTTTTGTCCAGTCGTGTTCGACTCTGGGGGGCAGTGCTTATCCCCATTTCCAAGCCATAGAACCAGCATTTTGTCCGAAGACAATCTTCCGTGGTCACATGGCCAGTGCGACTTAGACACGGAACACTGTTACCTTCCCACCAAGGTGGTCCCTATTGATCTACTTGCATTTGCATGCTTTCGAACCGCCAGGTTGGCGGGAGCTGGGGCAAGCGACGGGCGCTCACTCCGTCGTGTGGATTCGATCTTACGACTGCTTGGTCTTCTGACCCTGCAGCACAGGCTTCTGCGGTTTAGCAAGAAGTTTCAGCAGGATTAACTGAAAGTGGATGTGACCGTAGTGATCCTGCAACTGAACAAAGCTGGCAGATAAACTAGGCAAGATTGATTTGACTTAACAAGGCATCTGTGAACTGTGGCTTTATGATTATCTCCACCTTTGCCCCCCACCCCAATCAATGTTGGTCTTAAGTTGCCTTCCTTTCCTTGCTCAGGGGTGCAAGGGTGAGAATATCTGTATGGTGTGTTTGTAAGTGGGTGGATCCCAGTGACAGATGGAGCTGCCCAGCACCACAGGGGTCAGTTTATCTAATTCACAGAAGGATGTTGAGTGAAAGCAAGGGGAGGGGTGGGAAAGGGGGCTGGGATACCAAGACAAGTTAAAAGGAAGGAACTGCTACATCTGATTGTATGCTGGGTGTGTGAGTGAGAGAGACAGAGAGATGACACAGAAGCCAACCAAGGCATTGGCCAGATCTGCCGAAAGCTTGTGAAGAGAGAACAAAAGGAGAGAGGCAAATGAGCTGAGAGACCGGGAGTGTTTTCCTCCCAGCAACAAGGAAGGAACTTTGACAACGTGGATCCAGATCAGGGAAGGATTATACAAAATCAGAGGAGAAGCTCTTCTTATCCAGAACCCATTCTCCTCTTCTTTCTCAAGCAGGCATGGAGTTTGACAATGACACAGACAGCCACTCAGCCACTGAGGAATGTGACTACGGTGAGTGGAGTTCCTCAAAGATCCTCATTCCCTCCATCTACTTGCTTGTTTTCTTCCTAGGCACTACTGGCAATGGCCTAGTGCTGTGGACCATTTTCCGGGGAGGCCAGGAGAAAAGGCGATCTGCAGATACTTTCATTGCCAATCTGGCAGTGGCTGACTTGACCTTTGTCATTACCTTACCACTCTGGTCTACCTATGCCATCTTAGACTACCATTGGCCCTTTGGCTCTTTTGCCTGCAAACTCAGCAGCTATCTGGTCTTTGTCAACATGTATGCCAGCGTCTTCTGCCTCACAGGGCTCAGCTTTGACCGCTATTTGGCCATCGTCCGCCCCATCGCAAATGCCAAACTGAGGTCGAAGGCTAGTGGACTTCTGGTGACTATTACCCTTTGGGCCATGGCAGCGCTCCTGGCTTTACCAGCCATGATCTTTCGGAGTGCAGGAGTGCTCAACCCTGAATACGACAAAGTGACATGCTTCATGGATTTCTCCAGCGTGGCCACCAACGAGACAGAGGCTGCCTGGGAAACATGGCTGGGCTTGTCCTCCACCCTGATGGGCTTCGTGGTGCCTTTTGCTATCATGTTGACCTGCTACTTCTTTATTGCCCGCACCATTGCTGGCCACTTCCGAAAGGAGCACAGCGAAGGGCTGAGGAAGAGGAAGCGCCTGCTGACAATTATTATTGTCCTGGTGGCCACATTTGCAGCCTGCTGGCTGCCCCTCCATCTGGTGAAAACCATCTATATGCTGATGGACTGGGAGGTGATGCCGTTATCCTGCAGCTTCCACGCCTTTCTTAGCAACGTTCACCCTTACTGCAGCTGTTTGGCCTATGTCAACAGCTGCCTCAACCCTTTCCTCTACGCCTTCTTTGACCCTCGCTTCCGACAGGCCTGTGCTGCTGTCCTCTGTTGCACCACAGGGCATTTTGCAGGAGCTAGTGGAGAAAAGTCAGCTAGTTACTCCTCTGGCCACAGCCAGAACCATCCAGGGAAAGGACTGGACCCACAGCGGGAGAAACAGGGTTTCCCAACCCCCTAGACTTTGCTTCGTGGGTAAATGTGGGATGAGAAGATCAAGCAATTATGATGGACTTTATATATAATGAGCATCCCTTTCTTTCATTTTGTATCTTCTCCTATCATTTTAACTCTTCTATAGTCCAATGTCTTATGCTTTTTTTTCGTTTTTTTAAAAAACTACCTTGCATCTTTCCATTCCCTCCTTCCTTTGCGTCTGCTCTGCTGGGTTACTCATTCTAATGTTGTCACCTTGCCTCTTTTAAGGAGGAATGTCCTGTAGCGACAGGATAAATCAGGCTCCTTAAAAACAGTTAGAACCCCTCTTTTCACTTTGTATCTTAAAAATACAGAGTATGTTAGTGCTGAAGCACATCTCTTCCATACGTTTGCTGTGTCTACTGCCCCTGAGGATTTCCAAGTGTGTTGGAGTGGATGGAGTGATGGCTAGGACTCAGGAGACCTGAGTTTGAATCCGTGCTCAGCTGTGGAAGCTCATGGTGTATGTGCCCTAGTAAAACCAGGTAAAACCCCTCCTTAAATATCTCACTTACCTTGAAAGCCTTGTTAGTTCTTGCTTGACAGCAGAAAACAATTGCCTCTGAGAAATTTTAACTTAGTTGCCCCCTAGCCTTCTGTTTCTCCTCTATGCAATAAGAAAAGAGGGCAACGTATTGCACGCATGGGGGTCTGTGTGCACACTTTAATATTGTGTGACATTCCTATAATGGGGCAGGAAAGGATGGAGGCAGGTAAGGGACAACCAGTTCTCCTTGGAGATGAAATGTATTATATTCTGTTCAGGAACACATACTATACACACTTATCTCATTCAACTTAAGTCAAATCCTGAACTGCCATGTCATCCACAATTTATAGAATCGGGAACAGCAGGTATCAGTTAGAAATGAGGAACCTGGAGCTCTCCAGATGTTCAGATCCTATCGGTCCTGGCCAGAAGGTTCAATAATCACAGATGATGGGAGCTGTACTTCAACAACATCTGCAGAGCAATGCATTCCACTCTCCCTTGATATATGCATATAACCATGTTCAGTGTCACATGTAACTACAGTAATTTAACCAAAACTATTTCCTATTGCTGAGTGGTGGTCTTTTCGAGCTAGAACTAATGAGGACATTTGTGTACCCACACCAAGGGCTGCATTCTTCTTGTTATGATCAGCTCCAGCTGTTCTGTACTTTTAAGGGTCAGACATGATGTCACAGCCGCAGCATGAAATCCTTTTAAATAGCTAGCACAAGGACTAGCATTACTGACATAAGACTTGGGTCTTCTATGAACCAGTTTATAGGAGAAATATGCCTCACAACATTCTCTGAAAACAATTATAAAATTGTGCATCTCTTTGTTGTTTTCTCTCCCTATCTCTGTTTCCTTTTTTAACCCCCTCCTACTTTTTTTATTGCCAGCCAAATACTATGAAAGTTAAATGGGTGATTTAAAAGCAGTATCTTCTTGGTTCTTATGTTACATGATTCATTTTTAATGTCCTTTTCCCAGAAATCACTGGGAGCTGGTTTCTCCCAGAATGTTAGAACATGTGTACAGCACTTCCCTTTTATAATTAATAGAAAGAAAAGTGATAAAATGCCACCACACTTCTGCAGACAGTACAGAGTTGCCCTTTAAAGGATTGGGTGGATCCAAACTGAAACTTGCACATGATTTTTTAATGTTTATTCACAAGAGTAATACACTAAGCCGCATAGCAAAAATAATGTGAGCTTTTCTTATCAGTGATACTATGGAATCTTTCTGTTGGCAAATATTTTGTATGTGGAAATGCTTCTTTGTAAAAAGTGCATACTCTGTTAATATTAACAAAGGCGCCTGGAAAAATGCTTGACCAAAACACAAACACAGAAAACCAAACAAAAAACTAGAGTCTTCTTGCAATTATATTTTTGTGTCTGGAAGTTTTTTTTAAAAAATGTCATTGTTAAAATAAATTTCTGGAGCTTTGTTATATAGCACTCTTAGAACTGCAGAGCTAGAAGGGACCCTGTGGATCATCAAGTCCAGCCCCCATGAAGAAAGTACAGTGGGGAATCAAACTCCCAACCTCCGGCTCTACCTAGATCACCAAGCTATCCAGTTATGTAAAACTATTGCTGATTTTTTAAGGGTTAGGCAAATAGTGGAAACCGAGAAATGGCTTTAAATTTTCTTTATGTGAGGAGAAAAACTGCAGTGCGTAAATATTTTTATAATTGTCTTATTGAAACAAACATACCCCTCCAACTCCCTCACTAAACCTAAATCTATTTCCCATCTAGTAATACCTTCAATTTCAGGATTCCCCTGTTTTCTAATTGTAGAACAATTAGTCCATAAAATGTGCACAGTCTATGTAATTGCTGTCTTTATGGAGTATAGGTGTGTCTATTTAATTTTACACAAATGAAAACCAAGCACTACTGATCATGTATTAAACATTGCTGAGTAGACAGCTTTTATGCTGGAGGGAGGATGCTATTGACTGTGGTCCAGTTATGGCATTTGACATAACCTAATGGAAAGGTCCTCCTGGATTTTGCAATTTTCTGGATTACACAACCAAGAGGCGTAAATGTTTGAACACTCTCCCAAGAAAACCTTTCCAGAAAACTAGCATGGTAGAGAGAACAGTAGACTAAAGCTGCCTTCCTGCCATGCTGGTTTTCCAGTTATAAAGTAAGCTTTTAGATGGATGGATTCAGATGCAAACCCGTGACTGCAACCTGAAATGGTGCAATGGAATCTTTACCACTTGATTCTGCTGAATATATAAAATGCTTCTAGTGACTACCTCGTTCTTCTTGTTATAGCAGAATACACTGTAGACATAGCAGTATGCTGGAAGTTGAGAAGAATTGTTGCAACTGTTAGCAGTTTCATTCATTTGGGACCAGAAGCAGGCCAGATTGTTATGGATTGGGTCCTGATACATTGGGCAGAAGTAATGCAATGATCCAATGTTCCATAGGACACTGATGTTGTTCTCTTATTCTAGGTTCCTTAATTGAGCAAAACTTTGAAACAGTCAGCTAAAAAAAGACCAAGAGCTGGAAATAAAATTAGGAATTGAGAGTAGTTAAACAATGTCAACCTCGGTGATCTTTGCTGAGATGAATTCTAAGAAATGGAGGGAGGGAGGAAAAATGACAGCCTTCAGTGTAACTTTCCGTTTTCTGGCCTCACTGCCCGCCTTGACAAGGTTGCCAGATCAGCTGCTTCTCATTCCCTGAGGTTTCAAGACCAAATCAAAGAAAGCAGGTCCTTGTGTAACTATTACAAAATGGTGTTTGTGTGCAAGACAGACCAAGTGGATTTCCTACCCTACTTCCTAAACACATATTACTTGCACAGCACACGCAGTGGTTGGGAATGGGGTGGAGGTAGGTGCCTAGCCACTAAAGCTACCAAAAGGCAATAAATGGAATGTTTTCTCCTCCAACATTGCTCTGTGATCTGTCTCCCTGCCTGGAGATGTGGTGAAGTATAGTCATTCCCTGGGATGCCAATGTTCTCGATGGTCCAAAGCTCCATATCAGGGTAACTCAGTTTCCTCTGTCCCATAAAGCAATCAGTTTGTGAAGATCACACCAGACACTTACCAAGGAACCTGAACTGTTTGAAGATGAAGATGCTTCACATTTTAAGGAGCTCTCTCACATTTTGTCTTTCATTAAGTACACTTGCCTCTGTACACAAAATGCAGTGAAAAACAGACATTAGCCATGACTGGAAGAGGAAAATTCTTCATGAACCTGAGCATCATAGATCAAGATTCTCTCAACTCTAGGATTACATTAGCTTGCTTTATCTGGTGACTGGTCTTCAGAACTCATATGTGTGGGTTCTTTGAAGACTGATTTAACAAACACAGAAAGAATGCCTCCATCACCTCATTGCAACATAGAGACCAGTGCTATGGGTTATCTTGAATGTCTGTTTTGGACCTGACTCCCTAAGGTTTTACCCAGCTCTTTCTGGGCATGCCAGAGTTCTTTGATAAACTACAGCCTTTATCCCAAGAACTGAACATGCAGAAGCGGGGATGAAATACTTTGAATGCAGGGGGGAGAGAAGGACCACAAACTTGTACTTCAGAACTTTCATTGCAAAGACTGTGGTTGTCTCCTCCAACTCCATCCCTAAAAGTAGGCGAGAACCCAATGTGTGAGTGTGGTGAAGACTGGCACACTTTCACTAAGAGAAATATCTGAACCCCTCCCAGTAGTATCAGGCTGCTTGTGGCTGCAAAATCAGGTATGCATGATTCAGAGTGCATTAAATGGATCCCTGTTTTATTGGCTGCCAGCTTTATGTGATGGATTGTTGTATATAATGAATACATAAAGCTTGATTAATCACAGTCTGTTGGATGACAGAATGGGCTGTAATGCACAGAATGATGCCATTGGATGTGTATGTGCATGGTAAAAGCTGAAGGAGGTAAGAGGAGGTGCAAATCAGGACTGAAGAGATAAGCAAATTGGGAAGGAGGAATGAGTGAGGAATCCAGAGGAAAGACTGTACATACACAACAGGAGTAAATCTAGGAATCTGATTCATGTTCAGTTTTTGGCTTCTTTTTTAGAGTCCTCCAGGAAACTTTTGGGCCAGAGAAGAATCTTTTCTTTCTACAAGAGGCATTTAGAACTTTTTTCCCAAGGGACCCTAGTGTTTTCAATGGTGAGAATGCACACATTGATGGCTGCATCATGATTCTTTACAAATCTCAGTTTGTGATTAGTTCTTCAATATGTGGTTTTGTGCATAGTACATTTAGAAAAACTAGTTATTTTTGGAGAAAGGAGAACTCTTCCTATTTCTCCAACTGTGATTAAAATGCATTGACTACATACAGTATTTTGGGAGGCAGAAACGTGCTGATTAGATATGCGCATGTGTCAAACCCAAATATATATGCTTGAACTTTACGCAGGCATGCCTATAGTGGTGACATCAAGCAATACTTACATGTGTGAAGCAGCAATCTTGAGTAAGCCACCAAAGATGGATCCTTCCCATCACTGAAAGAACCAGTACTTAAAAAAATGGAAATAGGTGCCTTGACATATTTAGTTGCTGCTTGGCCAGTGACAAAAGTGCAGGGCCCAAAGAGTCCTCTGCTCTTCCTTCAGTTTGTTCTCACCAACCAAACCACCTAATTGAATCTAAACCTCTTTCCCCCCAGCTAACACGTTTGTGCCATGGGAAGATTCTGTGACCCGGATGAGAAAGGAGTAGAGGCCAAAGAACCTCACTCTCTGCCCTCTTTCCAACATGCACAGCCTTTCTTTTTTCGCATATTCCTAGTGTTGCTCTGTGTACAGCATTTTTGTCTCTGTCAGATGGACTGGTCCCATTTCTCTTTATCTCTTTGCATACAAACAGATCATATTTTTGCTTGTAAAGTGGCTTTATACCAAGGTGCCAAGGCCCACTGATGCTTGGTGCAGAAAAAGGCCAGGAGGAAGAGGGGACTGAAGAGAGAGCACATGGTTGCATGCCCTTGAGCCATCATGGAAGTTCAGGGGTCAGCACTGCAACTCAAGAGGCTTCTAATGGCACATGTTCCCTGGCGACTGGGCCTAGGAAAAAGCTCCCCCATGGGCTTCCCACAGGCTCCATCAACAGCACAGGGATGGAAAAATCTCCCCGGTATGATGAAGATGAGGCAACATAGGGTGTGAGTCCTAGCAGGAATTGTTGCAGCTGCTGGGCACATTGGATGCCAGACTAACTCTACTCCCATGCTTTCTTCTTGCCTCTGAGTTGCCTTGTTACCTGGTTTTTCAAGTGTTACCCAGATTCCTCTTGGTCTTAGCCCCCTTCCCAACCCCTGTCTGCCTTGCTGCTGTGATGTCACAGAGTTCGCCTCCTGGTCTCAGGTTCTGACTCTTGAAATTTCAGGGAACGGAATGCCTTTGCCCCAGCAGCCCTACGTACTTACCCTGTACCTTTGGGACAAGCGGCAATTCCTGCGAGGGGCAGCTGGGGGAGACAGCAAATAAATATGTCTTCTTTATGTCACAGTGGCAATGCTGTGAGGGGAATAAAAGCGAAATCTGACCAAGAGTAACGGTGAGCATCTGGAGGCTCCTTTTGAGGCAATTTGCAGTTTCAAAGACTTTCCTTTCAGAGTTGTGGGAAAGGAGGAAGAATGAAGAACCTTCCTCAGGTCCTAAACAGGTGTGGGCAAAGTAAGATTGGTGGAAAATGACTCCTCAGGTCCAGCACTGTCTAAAGCTTCTAAGAACACTCTGTTTTGGAACACTTTCCAGACTATTGTGTTATTTGAGCATATTCCTATACACAGTTCAGCTGCTGCAGAGCTTATTTGTACATTTCAAATTAAAAGTTGTTTACCTGTGGCACCATCTCTTCTGTCTCTTTTTCTCCCCTCAGCAATGAATCCAATTAGCCCTTGCCGGTAGGTTCCCTCTTCATCCTCTCCTGACAATAAAGAGGGGCAAATGGTGTGAAAATCTGTGGGAATGTGATAGCTTTATGACACATTTGCCGGTGTCACCCCATCAAGTCAATCTGCACTTGGGGGAAATCTCTTCTTTCCCTGAGGTGGAGCCAAGGGAAGAAAGCATGTTTCATTTCCCTCACCAGCTCATTACTTCCAAAGGATGGTGCAACCACAACCACTTAAAAGTAGTACTTTCCGGTCTCCACAGGTCTTCCCTGTGAGACATTCCTCTTTCTGCCTCTTCCTAACTGTAATCCCAGGGGAAGCCAAATCCTTAACACTTTGCAGGACCACCATGACATGAAACTGCACTGAGAACTAATGAAGCATCTAAACACTGGCCATTAATTTGGCATCTTTTGCTGCTAGGCAATTACTCAAATTTCAGTTACATGCAAGTGCAAATCATGTATATTTTCTTTCATGTCAGGGG